AGGGCTCACGTTAACCAGGAAACGCTGGGCTACAAATGGGAGGCAGGGAGTGGAACACAGGGTGTGGGAGACCAAATGGGCCTTTAAAGCCCTAGGGAGGGCCCGGGTAATTCAGTGAGTAGCCCGGACAGTTCATTGTGTCCAGCCCCCAGCAGGAGCCAACCAGGGCGCAACCCGGAACTCGGGGAGGCCCCACTGAGAGGCCACGCCCTCCCCGGGGACCTAGCCAGGCCCTGGCGCTCTAGGAGGGCTAGCTTTGACCGACAGTTTGGCAGCAACCTTTTATTGTTGGCTGCGGGTCTCAGGCCACCTCGCCCGGTCCACACTGGACTTTCCCCCTCTCACCCCAAGGGGAAGCCTTTGGCAGGCAGTTACCTCCTAGCGGGGTTTTGGCACTTGCTCCTTGAGAAAGTCCAAGCCAGCTGGAGTGTGGGGCAAACATCTCCTGTGGAGCTCAGGAGCTAGCTGCCATGCTCGGCTGTCTTCCCATTGACAATCTCCTCGGCCAGCCAGCCCTGGGTGGGAGCAGCCAGGCACCAACCAGGGTGACACTCTGAGGCACCTCCCAAAATGTCATAAGGCTCTAGTGTCCTCTTGGTTTTCTTTTCAAGTTTTTAGGTCACACCCGGCGATGCACAGGGGTTACTAGTGGCTCTGCATTCAGGAATTACTCCTGGCCGTGCTCTGGGACCATACAGAATGCTGGGGATTGTACCCAGGTTGGGCACGAGCAAGGCAAGCGCCTGGCCCACTGTACTGTCTCTCCAGCCCATCTTGGTCCTCTGGGAGAGGTCATCTTCCCTTCAAAGTCTGTGATAAGCATTTAGCTGCAGGCACTGCGGTGCTGAGCTTAGGGTTTAGATAGTTACACTGTCACACACACTGCCCTTTGGAAGAAAGTGTGAATTTTTGGCAGTGACCATAAAACCCAGTTTGCCAAAGTACTAGGGTATACAGAGGAGAAAAAATTTTTTTAATCCCCCCAAAATTGGGTGGGACCTTCTCCTCACATTTGCCATTTTCTAGCTTTCTCCTCCTCTTTCTTTATGATGCCCAAATCTGGTCCAAAGAGATAGTACAGTGAGGAGGGCACTGACTTTGTACACGCTGACCTAGGTTTAATCCCAGGCACCCCATAGGGTCCCTGGAGCCCAGCCAGTAGTTACCCCTGAGAACAGGAGCAGGAGGAAGTACTTGAGCACTGCCATGTGTGGCCCCCCAAACCAAAAATAAATAAGTACATCTACATAAAACTATTATTTTTTGCTCTTTTTTGGGGGGGAGTCACACCCAGCAATGCTCAGGGGTTGCTCCTGGCCCTGCACTCATGAATTACTCCTGGCGATGCTTGGGGGACCATATGGGATGCCGGGGACTGAACTCAGGTCAGCCACGTGCAGGACAAATGACCCACCCACTGTACTATCGCTCTGGCCCCGCTGTATTTATTATTATGGGGGCTGGAGTCAGCCCTGACCACTGCTAGGTTGATCCTGGCCCAAAAGCCAAAAGAAAAACCAAAAAAAAAAAAATCCCAAATCCTTCTCTTCCCTTCCATCTACATATCAACTGTGTTTATTTGCTCTATCTTAAATCCATAGAACTCTCTCTTTTTTTTTTGGCTTTTTGGTTTGAGTCATATCCAGTGATGCTCAGGGGTTTCTCCTGACTCTGCACTGAGGAATGGCTCTTGGAGATGCTCAGGGGACCATAATCCACAGAACTCTTAAATCTGCAGTGTGATACATGATTTTAAATATGCAACAGCATTCAATTATAAAGTTTTCAAGGGTTCAGGAGCACACCCAGAAATATATTTTGACTTTGGATTTAACCGTGGTTTATAAATCCCAGAATCTCATCACTTCTCATCAAACAAGGTGATACACTGGGAGACATCTCAGTCAGCAAAGGTCTGCACCTGTGCCCTAGGAAAGAGCAGAAACAAAGACTACTTTGACTAGAAAAAGGAAATAGTAGGGGGTTGGCAAGGTAGGGCAAAGGGCAGAGCTGCATGTTTTGCATGCAGGAGCCCCAGGTCCAATCCTCAGAACCATATAGTCCCCCAGCACTGTGGAGAGAAACACCCAAGTATTGAACCAGGAGCAAGCTCTGAGCACAGTCAGTGTGACACAGAAACAAATAGAAAAGAGAAAGGCAAAAAAGGAAAGGAGGGGCACAGCAATAAAACAGTGGGTAGGGTGTTTGCCTTGCATATGTTTGACCCAGGTTCAATCCCTAGCATCCCATCTATTTCCCTGAGTCCTTCCAGGAGTCATCCCTGAGTGCAAAACCAGGAGTAATTTCCAAGCACTGCTGGGTATGCCCCCACCAAAAAAAGGTAGTGATTTTGGGCCCTTGGGATATATTCCCAGGAGAAAAGTGACTGCCATAGAATCAGGCTGGTGGGTGGGAGGGAAAGTAGGGACAATGGCTGAGGGAAGTGGACATTGGTGAAGGGATTGGTGTTGGAACATTATATGCCTGAAAATCATGAATAACTTCATAATTCACAGTGATTCAGTTGAAAAAATTAAGAGGGGCCGAGCAACAGTACAGCAGGTAGGGTATTTGTCTTGCAAGCACTCAGCCTGGGTTCAATCCCTGGGAATCCCTGAGTAATTCCTGAATACAGAGCCAAGAGTAACCCCTGAGCATTGCCAGGTGTGTTCCCAAAAGCCAAAACAAAAACCCCACATTTTTTTTAAAAAGAAAGGTAAAGGTTGGAAAGATATTAAAGAGGGAAGAGTGCTTGCCTTGCATGCAGCTGATCCGGGTTTGATCCCTGGCAACCCATATGGTCCTCCAAGCACTGCCAGGAGTAATTCCTGAGTGCTGAGCCAGGAGTAATCCCTAAACATTGCCAGGTGTGGTCCAAAAAAAACAAAAGAAAAGAAGGGTAGTGATTTCCCATTCCATCCCCTGCAAATGCAAAGAGCAAGAACAACAAAAAAAAAGATTATTTCAAAATGGCATAGGGGGGCTGGAGCGATAGCACAGCGGGTAGGGCATTTGCCTTGCACGCGGCTGACCCGGGTTCGATTCCCAGCATCCCATATGGTCCCCTGAGCACCGCCAGGAGTGATTCCTGAGTGCAAAACCAGGAGTAACCCCTGTGCATCGCCGGGTGTGACCCAAAAAGCAAAAAAAAAAAAAAAGACAAAATGGCATCGGGCTAGTGAGATAGTACAGCAGGTAGGGAACTTGCCTTGCACATGGCTGACAGATTTAATCCTGGCACCCCATTTCGTTCACTGAGCTCTGCTAGGAGTGACCTTTGAGCACAGAGCCAGGAGTAAGCTCTGAGCATGCTGAGGGTGACCCCAACATCCTCATCCTCTCAAAAATAGGTGCCCCATCTTCTCGACCATGAGGCTCAATTGTTCTTAAGAGACTTTCCTGACCAAGATCGAAGAGCCCATCTTGCTGACGCCGGTGCCTTTGCCCATTTTCTGTTGTTTTCTGGCAGTGCCAAGAATGGAACCCAAGGCCTCCCGCATGCAAGGCTACCACGGAGCCATGTCCCAGAACCAGAACCGTTGGCTCACTTGCTGAAACCACTTTCAAATATTTATTTTGGCCAGGGAGGTGACTCAAAGAGCTAGTGCCCGCACATGCTGCGTAGGCTGGGGACAGGGTTAAATCCCTGGAATTGAATGGGATCCTGTGCACTGTTCCCTGAGCAACCAACCCCCAAATACCATGCTAGGAATAGCTCTAGCCCCTGAGCATTGCCAAGTGTAGCCCTCAAACCAAACATTATATATATATTCATAACCTAAGAGGCTGCAGTTTTGTACAGGTTAGATGGTTCACCATTCTCCCCAAGTTACTCAGCCCTTTTTTCCTCCATCACTCACAAGAGAGGCCTCATGGTTCATTTTGCTTTAGCTCAGTAGGGGATTCACCATCTTCCCAGAGTTTAACCATAAACTCAAAGGGCCATTTGTAGGCCTAATGGAGTCAGTCTTCAGTGCCCAGAGCTGGCTGGGGATGCCATTCTTTCCCAGCACCCTGGTACATGAAATTGCCCTTGTTATGTCCTCTCACCTGCCATCCTTTGCTCCTGGAAATATTCCTTTCCTATCAAGTTTCTCCCTTTTCTGGGCCCCAAATGAGTAGTAATGGCCAGACAAGGACATTAGTACTTAGTCTGTTTGATCAACTGCAGAAGCTGGGAGGTGAAAGAGCTTCCCTAGGCCCTTAGATAAGTTGATCTGCATTTCACAAAGACCTGCTGGGGACAATACCAAGGGAACTGAGGAAGAAGCAGTTCATTCACTAGGTACCTGGGACAAATAAAGAAGGTATGGTTTTAGGGGGAGCATTCCAAAAGAACAAGTTTCATCTGTTATGAAGGAATGGAGGGCGACCCTGTCTCAATTTCATTAAAAGGGCTCATGGCTTGGTGCCAGAACCATCCACTCCACCCCCATTCCAGCTCAGCCTTCATCTTAATTATAAAGCCAGAATTTAAAATACAGCCCATTCATTCTCTGCAGATCGCTGTCCTTCCCCCACCGCACCCCACCCCACCCCATCCGGGCTTAGCCAAACTGGTCCTCTGCAATTGATCAGTGATTGACACCCAAGAGAGAAAAGAGACCTCAAAATGTATCAAGAGCTTAGGGGTTCATTCCCACTTACCCGGGCTGAGTGATGTCTTACACCTCCCCCACCGCCCTCGCCCCCCCCTCCCCCCCCGCGCAAGCTGCCGCTGAGCCCCTGCTCAGGGTCAAGGATGAGATTTAACCTGTACATCGCCGCTGCCAGGGGCTGTCAGGCAAAGAGCAGGAATGGAACGCAAGCTATCTGCCTGCCCGAAAAACATACAAACAAACAAAAAACCCCAATCCGGTGAGGATGAGAACGGGCCACAGGGTCCACCAAGGAATGAGGAGGATCACCGGTTTGGTGTTTATAGCACCAGAGAGACGCCGCAAGCAAGGCCCCCTCCCAGCTCCCCTCCCTTCCTGGACCTGACCCGCTGCTTCCTTCACCTTGATCTTCTCGCCCTCGATTTCCACCGTCTTCTCCCTGAAGTCCACGCCGATGGTGGCTTCCGTCTTGTCCGGGAAGGTCCCCCCGCAGAAGCGGAAGGTCAGGCAGGTCTTACCCACGTTGGAGTCCCCAATCACGATGATTTTGAAGATGCGAATTTGCACGTACTGGTCCAGCGACGAGTCGAGCTCCAGGGACGCCAGGCCAGCGGCCGAGGCGGGCGGCAGGTTCCCCTGGCCCAGGATGGGCTGCGCCATCTCCCCCGGACCGGACCGGGGCCCCAACCCCCCTCGAGGGCTCTACACAAAGAAAACGGCCACGTTCGTGTGCTCGAGGCGAGCGAGCTTTGTGCGTGTGTGTGCGTGTCTGTGAGTCTGTGTCCGCCCGTGTGTGCGTGCGCCTGCGACGCGAGCGCGCGCGCGCGTGAAGGGGGTGCCTCTTACCCCAGGTCCCCACCCCACCCCCCGCTTCCTTTTCCTCCAACCAACCCTCCTTTGCAGCTCCGAGGCAGCAGCACAAAAGCCAGGGAAAGGAGAAGAGAGGAGTGAAGAAACTGCCTTCCGCCTGTGCCCTCACCCGGGATGCTCATGCATTTGATCCAAACGCATCAGCAAGCCACCGCTGCACCTTTGCCCAGACCCTCCCTAGCCTGGACCCCAGGGACATCCAGGAGGGAGGAAACCTAAGAAGGTCAAGGATTGGGTGGGAAGAGCCTACGCACACTACCCTGGGATGGTCTATTTCTCTTTGCGCCCATTTATATGAGTCCGGCTCCCCACCCCCCACTTTCTGGGAGCGCACGGGAGCAAGGCTGGGAAGGACAAAGAGAGATGCACCATTTTTGGAGCCCTTCGCCTTGGGAGCAACTGAACTCGGCGCGGATTGGTGGGGGTTGACGGGGGTGCGGGGAGCCCTCTTTCACCTCCCGGGCAGCTGAGCCGCACGCGTCCGCGGCCCCTTCTCTTGGCGTAAATGGATGCTCTGTTTGATTGAGTAAGCAGGTGCACTCGCGTCCCAAGAACCCAGAGAGGGCGCTGCTGAAACAAACCGTGGGTTTGTGGGGACCGGTGCAGCTGAGAGCAGGGAATCGGGGGGTACCGGTGTGCGAGTACAGGGGGGCGGGGTGCTGTTTCTGTCACAGACTTGCCAGATGTAGCTGGGGGGGAGGAGGCGCGTGCCAGGCGCCAACCTCCCCTCATCACACCACGAGCACCCATCCTCTGAATGTTCAGGAGAGCGGCTCCCATTGGCTGCTGTAGTCGGTTGTGTATGACTGGCCAATGGAGAACGCCCGCTGTGGGAGAGGGCCAGACGCTGGGGAAGGAGAAGGCGGCGGGCGGGGTGCGGCGGGAGGGGGGGCGGGGGTTGGGTTGTGGGGGAGCTAGTGTGGCAGCCAGCAAAAGGGGACTTTGTTTCCGGGGCTAACCGAACCCAGGCAGCGGGATCTTGGAGCAAGAGAGAAACTTGACAGGCTGTTGCATGCCTGTATCCTCCGTATAATCCTAGATCCATCAGGAATACTGATGTATGGTAGGCAATTGGAACCCCTTAAGAAGGTTCACCTTTCGGTAACTGAATGTGGATTGAAGTGATTGGGTCTAATTTGCCCGATGTCTAGAAAGATGATAAATGAACAGAATTTACTTCTTTTCTATTTCTTTTTTTCCGGTGGCAGGCACACCTGGCAATGCTCAGGGGTTACTCCTGGTGGTGCTCCGGAGTTCATATGGGGTGCCAGGGCTTGGACCTGGGTCGGTCAGGTGCAAGGTAAATGCCCTACCGCCTGTATTATGTCTCCACCCTGAACATAACTTTTTTTCCTTCTTTTCCTTTTTTTGATTTTTTCTTTTGTTTCTTCTTTCTTTTTCTCTTCTAAAACAGAACTTTCTTAAGGGTGATATTAGGGGCAGCTTCCCAAAGCGTCATACATGTTGATCAAGACCAATCAATATTCCCTCTCCCCAGAGTTCAGTTGCAGGCTCATGATTTATTTGAAATCAGCATTCCTGCAGTCCAATTTTCAAACAGTAAAACCCACTCTTTTATGAGCTCTAAGACTCTGCCTTTCCTCCCACATATCTTACAGAGTAATAATGTATTGATATATGCCAATAGTAGCAACACTTTAATTATCTCTTAATGCTTTCATTTTTCTGGTTTTGTTTGTTTGTTTTGGAGCAACACCCGGTGTTGTTCAGGCATTATTCTTGGCTCTGCACTCAGGAATTATTCCTGGAGGTGCTCAGGGGACTATATGGGATGCCAGGGATCAAACCTGGTTCAGTCCCATGCAAGGCAAATGCCCTCCCCACCACACTATCGCTCAGGCCCCATGCCACATTCTTTTAAACTCCCCAAAGTTATCTATTCCCATAAAAGGAAAAGAGGTCGGGTATTCTAGCTACACACAGAGAACAGCAATCTTACTTGTGTGTGAGGCTTCAATACAAAAGAAACGAATAAGACTCATTCCATTTCCACTAAGAGAAAAATAATTCATTGCACAGGTGATGTATTTGTAAGCAAATTGCTCTGCCAAGTCCAAATTACTCAAAAATGGCTTGGGTTTTCTAGATAATAAGCTTTTTATTAGCTGAGTAAGCTGATTTATTTAGAGCTAACTCCTTTGGCAGTATGTGGGTCACCCATTTTTAAAACCCTAGATTATACTATTCAATATGAAAATTGTGGAGAATTTGATCTTTGTTAATCCAAGGTCATTATTATGTCAATTACTGAACCTGGTTCAGCCCAAGAGATATTCCAGTGGGTAAGCCTTGCATGCGGCTGAACCGGGTTGGAACACCAGCACTCAGGAATTACCCCTGGTGCTGCTCATATGGGATGCTGGGAATTGAACCCAGGTTGGTTGCGTGCAAGGCAAACACTCTACTCACTGTGCTATTGCTCCAGCCCCTCACGGGCACCTTTTAAATCTGGTTATTAGAATTTGAGTCTCGCAGTTTCAGTGTTGTTGACTCCGTGGTTTGAATACTTAGCTCTATCATTCCTTGACACCTCCCATGTATCTGAGTTCCCTTGACCCCTGCCCCCATTGCTTGTCTCTTCTCCCCTTCCCCTTCACTCTATTTCTTTCCTTCTCCCTAATCTCTGGAGGCAAGGTGATCTAGGCACCTCCTTTTATTTTATTATTATTTATTTATTTATTTATTTATTGCTTTTTGGGTCACACCCGGCGATGCACAGGGGTTACTCCTGGCTCTGCACTCAGGAGCCACCCCTGGCAGTGCTCAGGGGGCCATATGGGATGCTGGGAATCGAACCCGGGTCAGCTGCGTGCAAGGCAAACGCCCTACCCGCTGGCTATCTCTCCAGCCCCCTATTTTTTTATTTTTTAATTTATTTTAAAAAATTTTTAATGAATCACCATGAGGTACAGTTACAGACTTACAAACTTTTGTGCTTACGTTTCAGTCATACAATGATTGAGTACCCATCCCTCCACCAGTGCCCATTCTCCACCACCAATGTTCCCAGTATCCCTCCCACCACCTCCACCACATCCCCCCAAACCCCCACCCACACCTCTGTGACAGGAGGGTTCCCTTTTACTCTTTCTCTCCTTTTTTTTTAAAATAATTTATTTATTTATTTATTGAATCACTGTGGGGAAAGTTACAGAGCTTTCAGGTTTAGGTCTCAGTCTTGTAAATATCAAACACATTTCCCTTTAACAATACTTATTTTTAACCGCGAACCCCAATAGAACCCCACCTCCCACCCCTCCCAATTCCTGTGAGGCAGATGAGTTCTAGTTAACACTCTATGTACTTTGACTAGATTCATTGTTTCGATAAAAGATGCACCATTATTATTTAGAGTTTACGACCCCACCCCCAAATCAGACATGCTGAAAGAGCATTGTGAAATGGTTTGCTTTCTACAGCTGGGTTTTAAAAATTAAATGATGTTTTGGATTTCTGCTATTTTACTTATTAACCCTGGAAGTATTTCTATTAAAAGTAAGATAGTTAAGGGATTGGTTTCTGTGCTCTGGAGTTGTGGCCGTGCCGGAGAGCCGCTCGTGGGGGGCGACTGGTGACCTCGGTAGGGCGTGAAGGATGGACCCGGAACGCCCCCCTTCCCATGAGGTCCCTGCCGCCCCCACCCCCGGCTCAAACCTGCTGTCCACAAGGCTCCTGCGGCTGCCATCTTTCTTTCCAGAGAGGCCAGGGCGTCTTTCTCTCCTTTAGGGTGTTGTGGCTTGCAATGCAGGTATTAAGTGGCCATCATGTTTGGTCTATAGTCTACTTTCAGCACACATCTCCCATCCTGATCGGGCCCTCCAAGCATCCTTTACTTAGTGGTCCTGTCTCTGAGCTGCCTTTTCCCCCAGCATGTGAGGCCAGTTTCCAAACCATGAAGCAACCCTCCTGGCCCTTATCTCTACTATCCTTTCTGTTACTTTATATTCCACAAATGAGTAGGCATCTCCTTTTAAACCTCACCCAGTTACTCTAAATATCACATAAAAGTGATATCACCCTGGGGCTGGAGCGATAAAGGGCGTTTGCCTTGCTGACCCGGGTTCGATTCCCAGCATTCCATATGGTCCCCTGAGCACCGCCGGGGGTGATTCCTGAGTGCATGAGCTAGGAATAACCCCTGTGCATTGCCAGGTGTGACCGAAAAAGGAAAAAAAAAGTGATATAATCCTGCATTTGTCCTTCTTCCGGCTTACTTCATCAACCCCAATGGAAAACAATATGGATTTTCCTCAGTAAACTTAAAATTGAGCAACGCTATGATCCATCACTTTGGGGTATCTACCCTGAGGAAAACATTTATTCAAAAGGACATATGCCCATCACTACTCATTGCAGCACTCAGTACAATAGCTAAGATTTGGAATCAACCTAGATGTTCAAAAACAGTCAGTGATCATGAAGATGTGGTATATGTACACAATGGTATATGATATACTTGATCACTTGACTTCCCGTTAATCGTCGATTTGCTCGAGCGGGCACCAGTAACGTCTCCATTTGTCCCTGTCGCGTGCTAGTGTAGCCCAATGGCGTCTGTTTGCTCTAGGAACACGAAGAGCCTCAAACCGATCGTTCATGATCTTGATGAAGAAGTCTGACCATCTGGTAGGTGGGCGGCCACGTGGTCTTTTGACATCCCGTGGAATCCAGTTGGTAACAGCTCTAGTCCAGCGGTCGTCTTTAAATCTCATTACATGAGATTTAAAAATCTCATCGGATTTTTGACACCTTGGCAAACGAGACAGCGTCCCTGATTCTTGATCGTCGATGGACGTCGGAACTCCGGATTCTTTCTCTCATTTGAGTGAAACATGATATTCCAAGCATAGCTCTTTCAATTCCTCTTTGGGAGACCCGAATAGCGTTCTCATCCTGTTTGTGTAGGGCCCAGGTCTCTGAGGCGTATGTTAATGCAGGAAGAACAGTGGAATCA